ATAGGGCTCCGATTTCGGAGTCCCCGGCTGGTAGTGGTTATTGAGAATTGGTGTTTTAGAGAGTTTCTTACCAGCCATAAGTGCCGACAAGAAGTCACCGATGCCAGCAAAAACCAGGCTGACTCCGGATCCTCCAGGGAATCTCTCTTGCCCGACAATCTGCCGAGTTATTGTGATCTGCATGGGGACAAACACTCCCGCCGACAGGCCGACCAGTACAGCACAGACCATGAACCACGGGTAGCTCTCAACCGATGCAATGATGGGTCCAGCCACTGCAGACAGCGCGATGGCGGCACCGTACATGTACGCAGGCTGCACCTGGCCAGTGTCCACCAGCCGGCCGTGGGTTAGCCGGCTGGCGATGTTGGCGATTCCGATGGCCGAGATCAGGGAGGTAGCCTGGAGGGTGGGCACGCCTACCGACTCAGCCCGGGCAGCGATGTACGCCAGGGTGACGCCCATGATCGGAGTGTTGGTGACAGTGGCCAGCTGGAAGGTCACGTAGACCCGGTTGGTCCAGAGGAGGGATAGGCCTGAAAGGACCAAGAACCTTGTGAGTTTCTCTGAGAAGTTGGCCATCGTAGTCGATCTCTCCTGTTTACTGTGATCCTGTGAGGAGCCGACAGAGAATTTGCTGGTTCGGCCAATGGCATCATCTTCAGACCCATCAGCGCTCTCTAAAAGCTGCTTGTATCTAAATACCCCCTCCGTCTCCCGATGCGTCACACTTCCATAGTTTCCTCGGTCGCACTGTTCGCCGCTCAGCGATTTTGCCTGGGCTCTTTCGCCCGCCGGAGCCCTCAGCAGTCCAGCGCACACCAACAGGTTGGCCTCCACGGCGCTCAGGACCACGAGGGCGCCGCGCCAGCCGTACCGCTCTATCAGGAAGCTATTCAGGATGGGCATGACTATGGTGCCCACGCTAGTGCCCGTCGTGGCGATGCCGTTGGCCGTGGCGTAGTGCTTGTGGAAGAGCTCACTGATGATGAAGAGGACCCCCATGTGGGACATCCCAAAGCCGATACCTGGAAAAGGGACAAATGGCAGACAGCTGATAGCACCTGGATATGTATAGCGGTAGTGTGCGCTTTGATGGAATCATGATTCAAAATGCAAGAGCTGTGAAGTAGGAATGTTTGGCTGCCAGAATATTCCGTAAGTGAATGTCTTCAGGGACAAGAGAAATTTTCTTGCCCCTTCGAGGACAAAGTTCCTGCACCTTGGTGTTAAAGTCAAGGAAGATTCAGGAAGGAGATTGGGAACTAGCCAAGTTCAAAGGTTAACACATTTCAAGAAGCATGCACATGTACGTTATATGCAAATTTGCATATACAGTAATCAGTGAAGAGCAGGAGAGCATACATGTACAGTTATGTACAGAAGTTTAGGACCACCCATACAAAATACATTAACCTGAATAAAAGACCAAACTTTAACCAATCAATCATGGCAACCTATGTTTATTGTCAATGTGTAACCTTAGTATCTTGATAAATGGCTGTTTGACTACATTTCCATGATTTGAAATGTTAATGGTCAAATATTTCAAATGCCCTCCTTTATTTCTGATAGCTTTGACTGGCTTTTTTTATACCCATTTTGTCTCATGGACAAAATGTCATACAAGACCTGTCTTTGCAAAAAATTTCATTCAAATGGATATTTGTAGTTCTACACTGATGTTATTCACAACTGTAAAAACTTATGAAGTAATCATTCATTGTAATGCGTGCCTAGTGACAGAAATGCCAATAAAACACATGTACCAGGTGGTCTTAAACGTTTGCAATTGACTGTATATGTACTGGTATAGGCAAACATGGATGATTGTCGACTTTGACTGTGACCTAATCATCGAGTGGGGCACTTTCTTGTGATTGGGTCCCGTCATACTCACCCGCCATGAAGGGAATGGTAATAAACAAGACGGAGATGTCGCGGGCGAACGACGCGAGGAGAAGTCCAGCAGACGACAGGCAGGCCCCAGCTGCCACCACTGGACGCACGCCATAGCACTTGGCCAGGGCACCGGCCAAAGGCGCTGGAAGGCAGAAGATGAAAATTGGGCATGAACTGCCTGTGACATAAAAGCCACCAGAAGGATTACGGCAAGTACTGGAAACAAGAGAACGAGGGCTTAACCCTAACCCCCTGTGCTTTTGTATCAGAAACAGGTCTGAACTTAGCAAGGTTCCCCAGATAGAACTAGAGTATATATGCATGGACAAGGGGGTCGCTGTACTTTAATGGCTGGGGACTGGATGGAATCTGTTTACTCCAATAGGTCAAATTGAGTCATTTGATACGGACAGGTCTCTACAGTTAACAGGTGACTTGCACTGTTGTATGCAGAACCAAGCCTGACAAAGTCAAGCACAGTCCAACACATAGTACAACGAGCACGTCACTCTACAGGGTACAGTAGTTTACGGTACGCGTAGACTTGTTGCACCAGAAGAGAGCCCCTCAACGAAACATTCTGAACAGAAGGGAGCAGGCCGCATGTCCCAGTGTCTTTAGTGACTGCTCTTTGTTGACATTACTGGTACATATCGGTAATGTCCTACTGTATTACACAAGTGGTTGCTCAACTCCAGGGCGGTCCTTCAACATTCTCTCTCTTCGGCTGTGTCCAAGTCTCGTTGGCAACAGCTGGAAATAACGAACACGTCCCAAGGAAGCAGCCGTGTAGACTTTTTGTACCAGTAGCTGCGTGGAGCAGCTTTGTGGGTAAAAGGCCGGTTTTCACTTCGGATAGATGCGAAAGCGAGTTGAATTTGACATCACGAAGTGTTTCGTGGTCAGTTCCCCTTTATGTTCAACTTTATGGGTAAAGGCGGGTTTGCACTTCCGGTGGATGCGAGCGTAAATTGAATTGGATGTCGGGAAATGTTTTTGGCGAATTTGTGGTGCAAATTTCTGCTCCATTGTCCAGGGTTTCCCCAGGGGTGGTGACACGTGTACCCGGTATGTGAGAGGTGGTTGGACAAATGTTGCCGAAATACTTTGTGTACACATGCCTGGTAAAAGAAACATCTTTTCAAAAGAGGCCTGTAATAATCCAACGGTATGAGGTCTACATTTACTCCAAATTTCCCCTCAAAAATAAATCCATCATGTAGTCTGTGTTCCTGGGCCTCTTGATCATTCTGAATGATTTAAAACTCCTCTATTTCAAAATATCTACTGGTCAGTTATTTCGCTGTTTCCATCCATCTTTGTCGATTTTAAGTGTGAGGTACGAAATTCAACAGACAAGCCTGAGGTGGTCACTCACATCAGTTAGGTGAGCTGCCTCACACTTGAAAAGGCATCACAAAATCATGTTTCATGTATGCTGTCTTGCCAAATGATGAATCGGCCTTTGCCCATCTTCACAAGTAACAGCTCTTTTCAAAGAGGAAGTATCGTTTTTCAACCCATTTTAGTCTACACGAAATGCCAAAGAGTTTGGTGAAACTTACAAGTACACAGGAGCATGACGACCACCGAGATGGAGAGTCCGCCAACCTGCGCCGCGCTTTCCGGGAACTCCCTGAACCATTCGATGTAGAACACGCCCACAGAGCTGGCCGTGCCGTAGGTCAGACTGGTCACCATGAAGCTGGCCAGTAATATCGGCCAGTTATGAATCTCTGACGAAGGCATCTTGCTGCAGTCCACCACAAGAGAGAAAATGGGACCCAAGCTGAGTGATTGTATCAAAGAGCACCTGTAAGGAAAACATGTTTTCTCTGATTTCATCTGTTCAAATAAATATGGAAGCATCCAAATCGAACGTGGTGTCATTTGTCTTCAGAGCTCAACCATAATAAACAAATATGCACCGATAGCATGCAAAGGGTTAAAAGGGCTTTTTTTTCTGCTCATGCCAAGGAAGCAAGTGTCCGTGAACACTTTCTCTTCATTGAAAGAGAGAGAAAAACGTGCGCATAAGACTCAACTGGAATGACTTTACATAAGCCTCGAGGACTGACAAACACGGAACATCCCACAGGTACCCAGCCAAGAGCTTTGTAGGCCAAATTCCACACTAACGAGCATGCCGGTAGATCCTACAAGAACTGGAACAAGATTCAGGGGTAGCTGCGTGCCGTCGGAGACTCTCTACGTTCCTACTTCACAAAGAATACCAAAAAACAAACCTCAAGAGGAGCAGCCGCACTTGCAGGCGTCGCTAAAACTGAAAATATGCTGTACATTTACTCTTTCCTTGTCAGTGGCTTTAAATGCCGCAATATCAATTACGTCTGGCAATGCAAAAGGGGATCATTTACGGTACTCATCTCATTCATAATGTAATATACACCGTGCAGTTCTGGTGATTATATGGCAGGCAGCAAGTGGTGTAATGTGTAGGGGTGTTATTTATGGTGATGTGTGGTTACCACCTGTCGCTCGTTATTTGCATATGATTTATAATAAAATACTTGGAATCCTATGTAACGTTTGCCTTTGCTTGTTTCCCCCTCTTACAACCAGGCATGCAACTTTTCCTCGGATCAGCTGATTTCCTCGTTTTCACTTCACACTCCTGCCATTGAAAATTGAAAAACACTGTTCAAAGTGTTGTTAGGATTGGAATATCCTTGTTTTTTGTCAAAGTCCAAGTTGCATGCCTGCACAACACCAAGCAGTCTGCATGGTTTGCATTTTCTCACATGGCCTGCTGGAACCTCAACTCTTTATGGGATGTACATGTAGTTACAATATTGTAGAGAACATGAGCACATTTTCTCTGACCAACTGAAGTTGTCAAATGTTCAGTACATGTAGATCGGTCGTAATGATACTCAGGGGCTACTTTCTGAAAGTAAACGAATAGAACTCCATCCACGGTACGTGTTACACTGTGATAAACCAGCCTTCTTCTTGCTCAAGACGACTTTTGTTGACTGTTCATGTACCAGTGTACAGGTGCACATATAGCTTCCCCCCCCGGGGAATATTCTCCCCGAGGGACTGCATTTCTCCAGGATGAACATTACAGACCCACCTGAATGCTTTCCTGAATTGTGCAGGATCCTCAAAACTTTGCACAGCTTATGATGTTATAATGTACTCTACATGTACCCAGTACTTGGCATTATCAATAACCTGTGAAATTTGCCAGAGCCTCTGCCGTTGTTTACTGTTCCGTTTGTCTGTGCCCCTTTCCCAGTAGTCGTTCTGAGTGGATTGAAGCTTCTCGAGCTGGGAGCCCCCTGGGTACGTGTACGTGTACTTCACAGCTCTACAAATTGCTAGTTTTGTGTAATCGGATTTTGCGGTGTGCATCTCCAGGTCAGAATTCCTGGCTCGGTTTACCCCGGACGGACGGACGAAGCTGGATGTCTGTTGGGATTGAAATCTCCACAGTCACAGGATACATGTTCATATACTGTACATGAACATGTACATGTACATGTACATGTACTTCTTGTATTCATGGCATGCAGCATACTGCGTTGCTGGCGGGACTGGATACGAAGTAGCTTTGCTTAGATTTCTTTTGGGGGGATGTGACAAGTTACGGTACATTTACATGTACAATGCTGAAGCCGACAAGTGTACGTTTTAAAATTTTTTTTGATTGGTTGGTTTTCTAAAAAAAATTAAAATTATTAAAATATATTTTAAAAAAACCAAATGAAACATCCCTCCAAAAAAAGAGAACAAAGACAGACAGAAGCAGACTACACCCCCTCTCCCATAAAAAGAAAAGAAAAACCAAAACTGCACAATGGTACTTTGGTAGTCATGTCTTTTTTGAGTGTGGAGTTCAGAGCTGTCTCTTGTGAGTGGTTGATTGTGAAAACAGAGACAATTGTTGGCACGGCGATGTTGGTTTTGGCACCCCTGCAGAGTTGGCCTCAAGGCTCAGGTCAATATTTGTGGCTGTCTGAACAAAGAAAGTTCAATGATGATAAGAGAAGAAGTGGCGAGTTGAGACCGACGGCTTTTTGTCTTGATCTGTCATACTAATTAAGATGGATTTTTATTTTTGAGTGCCAAGTTTAGGGGTTCAGCATTTTCTAAAAGTGGTCTTGATTTTTTAAATAAAATCTGAAACAATTTTGAAAAGTTTTTTTCACTAGTTTTGGCTAAGCATTAATACTTACATGTACACTGTACATGTAGTGGACAAAATGTTCCGAAGGGGGTACTTGATTGAGCAATAGTGAAGTTCAATGTTTGGCCATATGGTAAAAGTGCCTTTGAAAGCAAAACATAAGTTTCTTTTATTACTAACAATTTAACTGGAAGTGGTCATTTGCACATTCATCGTCCTCTGGCTTAGTTTATTAAACAAGCCAGCCATGTGGAGTGGTTTATTATTAGACATGGTGGAGTGGGCGACGAGCCCTGATTCAGCGGATTTGGCCCTCAGGCAAACCCGCAAACAGGATGTGGTAGTTGGAAGCCCCTCGGGAATTCTCAGGAGGTTTCATTCGTTTTCATGTCAACAGAAATGCTCAAAGTTCAGTGTGTAAATGTCAGTCGTTGCAAGCAGGAGGTTTGTCGGTACATGTGTATGTATTTGGGCTGGAGAGGAAATGACAAAGTTGACTGGACGAAGTTCCAACACTCTCGGTAGGTTTATGCCCAAATGTCCCTCAAGTTTTATTCTGAACACTTGAATTTGTTTCAACAAATCTTGTCGAATATAGATGGTTGTTTCGTGCGCTATGCGGGTATGGTACATGTATGTATCGCTGTGTTCATTTCTCGTTAGGGGACTGGGAAGAGTGCATATTTGTTGGTTAAGATTTGTTAGTGAAACTCTCCAGCAATTTCCAGTTTCAGGGAAATAGTTCTTGGCTATGTTTGTATTGTCACCACATAGGTATGAAGCTTTGTTTGCCGAACCATGTCTTTGTAATCTTTGACTGGAGGAATAAAAGGAAAAAACCTGCACGTCCACGGATTGTTACTGCTTGTGTGATTTGCGGTTTGTATGACAGAGAATAGAACAACACTTCGTTCGGTTGTTACGAACAAAGGCCGATCGTTGGCATGAATCCAGGGCCAAGTTCTGTAACTTTTTCTTTGCATTCCTGTCGTGCTGCGGGCCGTCGGGCGTTAAGTGGCACAAGTACAAGCACAGGACTAGTGCATTTGTTGTCGGCACAGTGGAATTTGCTGGTGTCGTGTGGGTTTGGAGGACGTGATGGGAGGCACTCGATATTTTCATCTGCCAAAATAGAGCTACCGGTACACGTACATGTGTGCATGATTGCGATATGCTGGATGTGTACACTTTATACTAGCAGAAGAGACATTGTCATTGGTTTATTGAAACAAAGCTGACCGAAGGAGCTATACCGATAGTGTACATGTACATGTAAAGATTTACTTCACTATGAGCCGCTAACATTGTGTATGTACATGTAGTCTTTGAAGTGAAGTTTGTTAGACATGTCTTGGCTTCTTCACCGACACCATAATCGGAGTACTCCACTGCCTTGACACTTTTTTTGCCATGTTCCCGTCCTGCGCGTAACGGCAGTGTACCACACAACCCATTCACGGATAACGTGCCCAACTGCCTGTGGGAAATTTTGAGGGAAGCATTTCACATGCTGCTCACACGTTCCTGGGTCTGTGATGGTCGGTTCAAATACGTACAGTGTAATGCTGTGTGGGTATCTTGGATACACATACAAAAGCTGATGCTGCTGATAGGGCCTACATGTAGTTCCGCTATCTTATGGACCTTTATTTAGGGAACCCATTTTGGAGTTGGACTGTTGTTAAATGGGGGTTTCTCTGTCCATTTTGCCCGAATATTTGCTCTAATCAGGAGATGACAGCGCGAGCTGAACTGGAAGCAGCCAAGCTCAGCCAGATGACCGACCTGTCCAATCTCAGGATTCGTCTGAGTTCAGTGGAGAACGATCTCAGCAGCTTCAAAGACAGGGCGGTGAAAGCAGAGGTAGGGAAAACACCAGCAAACAAAGGTGACAGTGAAAGTTGACCTACAAATCTAGGGAGAATTGGTAATCACCCCCAGTACAGGTTCAAATAGCCAGTTGAAATTAGAACTGTATTCGGTTCGGCCAGATGCAACGCAGTGGAAATGAGAACCGTGCCAAATGCAACCAAGCGCAACGTGGCTGAAACCGGTACCCACGGTGACTGCAACAAAATACAGCAAAGCTGGTATGCAATCCATGACAATGGCAGCAAAGTGAAACAGTGGTCAAAGGTCGCTGCATGTCATTGTGTGCAGCGGTCAACAGGGCCCCGTGTCAGGACGAGCAGGGACTCGTTTGTTGATCTTTCCCTCTTTGCGTTTTTTTTCCTCTTTTTTCAGAGTCTTGTGGAAGAGAAACAGATGGAGTCGTCTGAAATGTCACTGAAATACCAACAAAGCCAGGTATGTCACCACAGCAGTCATTTTCCCATGAAAGTCAATTACGAGGACTCAAATTGATTGTTCTTGATGTCTAGGCCTTAAATGAACCAGTTGTTCCCAGCTGGGCTGTCTGTGTGGTTTAAGGGCAATCCTGATATCAGGATCCTGGAATTCGGAGATGCCAAACGTTGCATTTTTTTCTCCGATAAATATGCAACCATTGTACCATGCTGATGTGGTTTATGGGGATGACAGGGTAGGCAGTTTGGAGGGGTACTGGAACTCCCTCCTCCCCCCCCGCTCTGAGACAATAAAGGTGACAAACGGGGAAAGAAATAGGAAGTAAGCGCACCAATACCATTGTAAACAGTTTAAGTCAGGTATGATGTTTTGTCATCCTTTCCGCTTGTCCGCAAAAATGAGACGTAAAAGAAAAAATGTCTAGCCTGACACCCCCTCAAAATGCCTAGATACGCCCCAGATTGGGTTTTAACACCTTAATAGACTGTTTTCATTTGTCGGCCATCTTGAATTCAAAGTGAGGTAAAACTGTTCATGTTGGGAATCTGAGAGTGAAAATAACAGCGACGAAAAAGAAGTTCATGTCAATTTACGCCAATTTTTTTGTTAAGAATAATTCAAAATTTGTAATAAAGTACCGGTGGTTAATGTTTTAAGCAAAAATTTAAAAATCTGAAAGTGAGGTTTGGAACCCCAAATAGTCTTGCACCACCCTGTTTAACAGATTACATTGAATGTGAGGGATTCAGGGAACAAGAATAAGGCATTTGTGTTCAAACCTGTCTTCTGAATATGCCTCGGTATTTGCCCCCTTTTATTTCAATGTCTCATGGTCTTATTTCACTGGCACTCTTGTCGTCATCAATCTTTCATTTATTGACCTTGCGTATAACTTGATATAGACATAGCAAAACGGAAATAAATGATGAGTCAAAACCAAAAAAAGATAAAATATGGATTCCCCTTGATTGAGTTCTATTATTAAAAGTGGCATATATTGTGACCTTTTTTGCCCTGGTCGGTTCTCACAGGGCAAGATCTCAGAGCTGCAGACAGAGTCCAACAGCTGGCAGGAAAAGTACATGCAGGGGCAGGTGAGGAATATCTCAGCGTCTGATCAGGTCGTGCTCCGTGATTGGCCCGGTTCATCGCCGGGGCGCGGTCACTTTGAGTGCGTCACATGCCACATGGGACAGCATAGCCTGTCAAGCCTAGCTGCCAACTAAGACAGGAATTGAAAGGTTGATTAATTGGAAATGCTCATCTGGCGACAGGTGGTGGGCTATATGTTTCATTTCATCAGAAATGATGAGCATTTCTTGTACTTGCGTTTGAATTTGTTGACCGATTTTGTAAATGATCCGTTTCTGTGTATTCGACCTATAGAATATGCCCCCCCAAAAAGAAATGAAAAATTGAAATAACTGTTGTATAATGAGATTTCTTTTCAATTCAGCAGAATTTTTTTTTGGGGGGGGAATTGTTTCCAGTTCTTTCGTCCTCAGAAACAGTTTTGTGAGAGTGACCTAGAGGTTTCTACTGAACTTCAGTTCGTTTAGATTTTCAATTTGAGTCCTTTCTTCATTCTGAATCTTATTTTCTGTTCGGCTTTCCTTCAATTTTTCCCCCATTTTGTTTCTTTTCTTTCCTCTTGTTTTTCACCTTTGACCTATGTAAATGAACCTGTCCCGAATGTATGTAAACCACTAGGTGAAACTTGTCCGTACACAGTCTGAATGTGCTGAGATCAAATGTCGGCTTCGGCAGTGTAGCGTAAGTGGACCGTAGTGGGCCTTGCGGTTTGCACACGTGCATGCGTCCTTCCTGAGAATCTTTGGAGTTTTGTCATGGGCTCACATATCATGCATGTGCTTTTGGAATTTAATTGGATTGTGACTTTGGGCTTTTGGTTGGTTGGTTGGTTGGTTGGTGTGTTTGTTTTTGACAAAACAAGGGCAGAATTTTTTCTTGTGGAAACTCGGGTAGGATTTCCTTTTTTTCCTAAAAATTCCATGAGGAGATTCCGAGTTGGCACGGTGACATTTCTTGCAAAATGGAAAGAAAAATTTTGGGGAGGAAAAAAAAGAGAAAAATCAGAGCGAACGTTGACTCTTGTGAGCTTTTTTATGCCAAATAAAATAAGCAGGAATGGTGTCAGGAACACCGCACCGCATGTCTTTTGAAAAAGAAATTGATTGGGTCATATTTCAAGAATGGAGAAGTCTCCATGTCGGGGCACAGTTAAGATACTGTATCATCAGGGAAAAAAGAAACTGCAAGTGATGCTGACTAGGAGTTACACTTGTCCTTGCCACTTGTGCTTAGTAACACTCACACTTTTCCACTACCGGAAGAGTTTTGTCGATAGAAGTTTTCCCTTCCAACTTAATTCCCTCAACTTCGTTTATTCTTGTACAGCGGTATAATCCTAGTATAACCCCAACAAGTAACAGCTTTCCTGTGGAATTTGTCTCTGTGGTTTGAACTCTTTTCTGTTTGCCCTGCATGTCAGATTCTACCATTTATATGTACATGTACGTGACTGGATTCTTTCTCGTAGATGCCCCGGTTCTGTGACAAGTCAAGGGAGTGTTTACTCTGTAGACAATAAGTCGTTATCGTTTCTGCCTGTTGAGCTTGGTGTTTTGGGGGCATTGGAAACGAAGTGCATGGTTTGGTTGGTTTTCAGAATGGGATTTGGTTTCCGCTGTGTGGAGTTGGCACTGCGTATCTGCTCAGAGGTTAGAAAGGAAAGAAGAGTGTCTGTCAATGAAGGATAACCGGGTGCCTTCACCCCTTGCATGGATTTAACTATAAAACCAGGCCCACGTTCATGGAGTTGCTCGGCAGAGGAATTTAATGTGACCATTTTTTACAGACAATCGCAAAAAGTGTCGATTGTACGTCTGTTTGGTTGGTAGCCGGTTATTGCCACGCGAGAGCTTTTCAGCACTCGGCCAATTTTTGCGCTCAGTAGCTCTGTGAAAACCGGCCCCTGCTTTTTCATCGTATGCTCTCTGTGCCGGGTTGACAGAGCGCCCTCGTTTGCCACTGCACGGGGTCCATCACAGAGGTACTTGTGGATGCTTTTTAGGGGGAGGGGAAGGAACGAGCATGCACTGATGACTTCATTTGGTGTGCAAGCATGACCGAGCACCGACACAGGAAAAAACAAAGTTACTAATAAAAAATCCCCTCTTCTCTCGCCATCTGTTTATGTTTTATAGGCGGAGAACGAGAGACTTCACATGGCCAAGAGCAGGGAATCGGACCATGGTTTGTACAGTAATTTCCAGGGCTTGTCCATGTACACTTCATTCCTTTAATTGGGCCCAGCGAGCTCTTTATTTAGTCTTCTGGCCCCCTCGCGGTTATCCCTTCAAAACACTTTACCCTGATCATGCTGGCATAGTGCATAAAAAGCATGTTCAGTGTCAGTCTCCTTTGATATTTGGTTATTGAGTTTCGCAGCTTTATTAAATTGGATTCCATCAATTTAGCAGGGAGTCTTGCAGCCGCCTTATTTCTCCCTGCTCTTCTGACATTTCTCCCAGCGTCACTTAAATGTTGGTCAATGCTGTGCAAGACCCTGGCTGTGGACAGACAGTCTAGATGCATCACTTGAGCGAACAAATTTATTGGAGTGGAACAAACAGCCCACGGAGGCGTGCACTGAATAAGGCCGCTTCGTAAGCACAGAGCCAGAGACACAGAGTTTAAGAAATGGCCCACACAGAGACCGCACAACCTCTTCTCCTGTGTTTGACTCGGTTTCCTTGTCCATATTTCGTAGCTTTGGAGGTGGAGAAACTGAAGAGAGCTGTGGAAACCCTCCTGGCTGCAAATCACGAGAAGGTAAATGCTGATGTTGGCATTGGCCATGCAACCCATCTTCCCTCCTGTTGTTTCCCGGGGGAGGGGGGAATACAGTAACAAACTCCCCCCCCCCATGGAATGACTAATCAAATGCAGTGATGCTTAATAACCAAGCCTTTCCCTGATAATTGATCGTTGGCTGTGACAATTTCCTTCCGACTCTTGATCGTGGAAAGTGAAAAGCTGTCTTGGCATGACGACCAAATATCACACCTTGGTCAAGGAAATACTATTCCCCTCCCCCCCAAGAAAGAAAATAGATTCAACCTAATTGCAGCAGAACTCGAGCCTTGACCACAAAGAGATGAGAGTTTTGAGACTGACTTGATCTCAAAGACCTGAGACTTTAAAGGTACTAATTCTGACCGCAGGTCCATCAACATCACCATGAACACTGGGCGTTAGCATTCTTTTTCCTCATGTTTTGAACTGCACAGACAGAGTAAATGCCCTCTCGATTTCCTCACAGGACAAAAAGATCGAAGACTTGAAAAAGACCATCGTGCGGCACCAACGGGTGCAGGAGCTGATGATGAACTCCCCGAGTCGCAGGGTTGATGGCAACTCACTGGAGGACGAGCCAATCCGATCGGACAGCTTCTCCACCAGCAGCTCTGTGGGGCTGGCCGACACGGAGGAAAGCCCCACCAAGAAGGAGAGACAAGCGGAGGTCAGCAGTCCAAAATCGATGCTTTCGTGGACAAATTTGTGCATTTGTCGGCCAAAATAGTCACTCCTTGATTTCTGTAAAAGGACATGGTTTCTAATGTCCTCTTGATTTCTGTAAATAGACAAGATTCCTAATGTGGCCTTCCTGATTTCCATAAATAGACATGGTTTCTAATCCGGTCCTATTGATTTCTGTAAACAGACATGGCTTTATTCTTTTAGTCTTTTCATACTTTTTTATGACATTTCGGATGACAGACACCAGTGGACCTTACAAGTGCGTCCACCACCCCTGACGAAGTGGCCCCCCGGGTGGACTCGCCCGTCTCCATGCCGTCGGATGGGAGCACCGATGCAGGTAGGGCCGATTCATTGTCACAGAGGGGGTCACAAGACGAGAGGAAGAACCTCTTGAAGAGGAGATCGGCCAGCCTGGAGGACATCAAGCCGGCAGCGATGACCGTCACGGTGGGTGGAACATTTCTGAGAAAGCGGCACTTGTCAGATCTTGGCTGTCTGTCCGACCTCAGCTTGAGGGTTATGTATCATGAATTCAGTCCCATGACTTTAAGCCCTCCGGCTCAATGTACGTGTACATGTAGTTGCTATTATTTTGCCGCAGAAATGTCATATTGTCTAAAATTCTGAGACAGGTTGGAGTATTGAAGTTTGCTGTGTCTCCCTAGAAATTATCACTGTGCGGGCTCCAAACTTGTAGACTAATCCAATTTACTGAATCAGGTGTTTATTGTCGTGATGGTAGAGCGCCGTACTCAAGTAAACGGTGTTTGGTCAGGCGTATCTAGCTTGGAGTAGTGGTGTGCGTATTTTGTGGGTGTCGTAGGCACCCAATCCCACAATTGGAACCGGTACCTGACATTTATCAAACACTTCGTTATCTGCGTCCAACGCCCAGGCCTATGTTGGAGAACTTGCCACTAACTTTGCAAATCCATTACATGTTGGCTCGGGCACCAGGTGTCTGCCAAGCTTCTCTGTTTGTCACCAGTGAGGGCGCTGTCATGCACTTACAGGATGATGATATTCCACCGTGCATAGCCTCAAGTGATGCGTATTTGTCGATGTCTTTATGACTTCTTTCCTTTCAGAACGAGACGAGCTCAGGGATCCACCAGCAAGGCTACAGTACCCTCCCCTCACCCCGCAACAAGAACAGGGAGTTCCAGTTTGCCCAGCCGGCCCCGCCCACTGCCCCGCCCGCAGCCCAGCAGCACCAGCAGCCGCCTACCACCTCCGCCTCTTCCTCTGCCACCGCCACCGCCCTACAAGGTAGCCCAGACTCTAGGCAGGGACGGAAGGACCGGTCGGGGTCCTTCGGTCGGGGGCTGTTTAAGGTCCGAGGCTCCAAAAAGACCTCCAGCGCACCTAACCTGGGTGAGGGTCCTGGCTTTGCATGCATGCACTCATTCACGTTTGCACACCACCCGTCGGCCCAGGCTAGCCAAGGCTACCGATGTGTCAACTCTCACGCTCTGGTCAACGCAGATAAGATTGACCCGAAGATCACGACATCTTCCGAGCTTGATTCAGAGATGACGCTATCAGGTTGCGCTGAAATTTGTGTGAGTTCACTTTCTTGGAAAACCCGCAAATGTTGATGACCTTTCTTCGGAAGGTGAGGGACTAAAAACGAATATGCTGTACTCTCACTTGAAAATGATGTTCCACTAACAGCCTAGACCGAAGAACAATTTAAAACGAAAAGAACTACACATAATCCCAAATTTTCTGAGTTTGTTCACATTCTAAAGTGAGCTTTTCTGAGCTGAGATGTCTTTGCTTTTGATAGCTTGGGCCGTGTTAACTCATCTCATACTGATTTCCAGTTTCTTGATATTCGATGTGTCCCGTTGAATGTCCCTTGTGTCCTCCGTGTGAACTGTGCCGTATAGCATGAATGTCACTTCACTGCCCGAGGGTATGTATGTTTCCAAGTGTGTGACATCCTTCACTGTGAATCCGGAATGAGCAGCGCAGTGCGTGTGAGAGACATTGCTGAGACGCGAGGAAGGCCGCCATGTCTTAGCACACGTTACCTGCATTTGAGCATTAACCCTTTGAATGTGTTCCACGTACATTTGTTCTATGATTCAGTGGCATGATGGTTATGTTGAATGTGTGCTGCCTGAAGGTATGTATGTATTTTGATTTACTAACAAAAGTTGACCACTCACTGTTCTTTGCATGATATAACACCACACCTCGACACTGCATGAAGGTATGTAGGAAGTGAAAAAACTGTACCAGCACAGTACACTATGCATGGCTTCAAACCCGACTTACATGTAGAGAAACCCCAGTCTACTTAAAAACGTTTGAACCAAAGATTTTTTATACCTAAAAACTTGGAAGTGACGTTTGCTTCCTTTTATTGGAGTCATAATCACGTCATATTCATAGAAAAATTCTTCCATGTCATGCAGGAAAAATGTGTAGTGGGGTAAGATGTGGACATTTCAGTTCAGAATGATTTTTACCCATTCTGTCAACATTCTGAACTTGTCCAAAAGGGTTCATCAAGTTTAGAAGTCTCTGTCTTTGAGTGATCAAAATTTATATGAAGCCTTAAACAATTCGGGCGCTTCACAGTAGTGCGCCACCAAGAGTTTGCAATGCGTTGGCCAATTGCAACCTGCAAAATCTGTCGACTCTTTTCAAACGCGCATTTGGTCGACAGATTTCGCGCATCGTGATTGGCCGACGCGTTGCAAACTCTTGGTGGCGCACTTTTGTGAGACAGCCGTATTGTGGAAGGTTCCATGACTATTCTGTACATTCTCGGGGACTCACACAGATCTCAAGTAGGCGAGTACACTCTGTAGTTATCAAACCAAACGACAGAACCTTGAAAATGCACACCTAAACAATCTGAAGGAGTGTATTAAAACACATTCTATCTTCAAAAGATGAAGGATAGGAACAGAAGCCCGGATGGGGTAAGTGATTGAAACAGTTGCGTGAATCCACCGCCACCATGATCAAAATCATTGCCTCTTTCAAGCTGGCACGCACCTTGCACAAGCGGAGTGATGCGTCATTGCTCTGCACTTCTTTTCTTTTGAGTCCGAGTCCATCTTTGTTCCTTCCAAATCCCATCCCATCCATACCCCGTCACCCACCCCCTCTCCCCCGACACCGCCTGTCATGGTCACCCTGAACAACTGGCACCCTCAGTGACTAAAACTTCTAAAAGCGTGAATCCGTAAGTTGAAGTGTGCGCCCTCGCTGGCAAAGGAGAGACAGACTGGTGGGGAGTTTTCCCCCACCAGATTGGTTTACGCGCCCGGCGCACATGCGAAGACCGTACATTCCAACATAAAATGGGCGCGCATGCTCAGCGTGCCCGTGCCAGACGTGCGAAAACATGAGTGCTTGCCGTTTGCCTGTAAAAACACACCCTCTTTTGTTCCCATCCGGAGCAGATATTGACAGGCTCTGTTGGCCACAGAGTGCCTCAGTTTTGTGCACATTCTGTCGAAACCGGACAGCCACATTGCCTACCAGTGGCATATCTGAACCAACAAATACACATCATGTGACCCACAATGGAGTCCATTTTCCTTTCCTGCGCTCCTTTCATGCTTGTTACCAGCTTCCAGCTTTGAGTTGGGTTTCGTTTGATTCCTCTACCATCCTGTTCCTTTCTTCCCACCCCCCCTTCTCCCATCGCTCTGCCTCTCCCCTCCGGCCAGGGAGCTTCCACGCCCAAGTCCCCTTCCTGTAGTTTTTGGCATTGTGCAAAAATGCATCTCATTCAAATTTCTTTTGGTCATGAATATTCAACATGAGTTGTCCCATATTCAAAAGAGGAAGGGTTAATTACCAGTTCTGGCATACTTTTCAAGGTGGACAGATACATGTATGTAATTGATCACCTCATGCATATTCATCAGGGGAGGAGTGACTTGTTCAGATTTATTTTGCACATCACCGGCACAATAATCACTATACATATTCACAAGAGAGGTCACCATGGCACTCACCAGCACATCATGCAGAGCCAAGAGTCCGGCATATTCAATAAGGGGAGGGTTTAAAATGCAAATTTATGAACCTGTAGTAACCCAGTAATTCAATTTTTCCATGACTTCCAACACTTGTTGATAAAGCCGTGTTGAATGCATTTGGTTGCAGCTTCTTAATCACCGCCAGCTTTCCCCAGGTTTTGATTTGCAGTCTGCCCTGCATGCTGTTTGAATTAACTCTTGAACTGTGTTTTTGATACATGTTTTTATCAGCCTTGATCTAGCTCCACAAAGGAATTTGACCGATTCAGCAAGAAATCGTCAGTTTTTTGTAAATTGCAAATCTTTTTGGATACCCTTAAAGTTAGTGGTAGGTTAACGCGGATCCTTAATATAGCTACACATTACCATGCAAAGATGATAGTGGAATTATTTTTAAAAAAATTTTCCATCTGAAATAAGGAAGATGAGAATATTTAAACAATGTTTCTGAGAAATGCTGATCGATAGAAATTACTTTATTGTTAGTTTATGAACGTCTATTGCATAAAAGTTACTCTTCTGCCCATGAGTATGGAGTTCTCGGTCCCAAACAAATATTCCTGTTGAAGGAATCAGTGGATGTGTACAACGTTTAGTCCTAAAGCACACAATTTATTGGCAGTTTTTATCTAAGGAACAAATGATTGCGCATTTATTGTCAATTGTAAGTAGACAAGCGTTATGATAATTGATGTATTTGTGGTCAGTTTGGACTCTTTGTGAACACCTGTCGTTTCCATGGTGACCACAGCTTCCACCGAATCGGACGGAGAGGACATCGTCCGGCGCAATCGGAAGGTGAACTTTTCGGACCTCCCCACGCAAGGAACCCCGCCCTCTGAGAGGAGGAAAAAGAAAGGAGGCATCAAAAAGCTGTTTGGAAAGTGAGCAAATTTTGTTTCTAAAGAGACCTTGGAGCGAGGAAAAGATCAGAAAAAGACCAGCAGTGTATAAAAAACAAAAGTAAAGGTTGTGGGAGACTATTTGATGCAAGAAACCCACACTGTTACAGGTTTCCAGAAAGCACACTTTCCGAAACAGTAGGAAAAGGGTTTAGGTCTTTGCCTTGTGATTTAGGTACGGACTATTAGTACTTTGGCAGGACAGAATTGCAGAGATGTGACGATATGTGATGTCTGAAGTGTCTTGTCACGGGCACCGTAACTCAGCAGTGCAGCACGCTGCAACATGCTGCAGCTATCACCACACTCTTGATGCCGCTGCTGTCACCACAGTATACCAGTATACACCACGACCTTGTCACGTTGTGGTACAGTGTAGTACCGAGGTTCTTGCCTTCTGGTGTGCGGTTGTTAAGTTGTAGCTGTGATGTTGTCTTTTCATTGTCAGGTTGAAGAGGAGCAACTCTGCCTCCCTGACCTTTGAGGACGAGGAGGAGGAGGATGTGCCGGTGGAGTTCCGTCGTGGCGGCCGGTTCAGGGCCACGGCCGGACCCAGACTTGGATGGACTGGGCTTCGGGTCAACAGGTGAGAAGCCGTGTCCTCAGTCAAGCTCATTGCTGTCCCCTTGCATGTCCTGTCTCAACTAAGTCTAAAAGTGGAGTGCACAGCTAATGGGGTTGACTTGTAAGAAACACCCTTTGTCATTGATCACTTGAATAGCTTGGAATGTTACTTGACTTGTGATGGACTACTGAGGACTGGTGATGGAGTTCAGAGGACTCATGATTGACCAGCGAGGACTTCTGATGGATGTCTGAGGACTTGTGATGGATTTAACTACAGAACTACTGAGTAGTCCATGCTCAAAACGGTGAAATTTTTTGTAGCCCTGTCCTGACAGTAGCTCGCACTTTATGCATGGATCTGGCATCTTTTGTCTTTGTTTTTTTTTTTGCAGAGATATTGACGCCCCTTTTGCCAAGTGGGAGGGTGATCAGGTGGCAGCCTGGCTGCATGAGATGGGCCTGGGCCAGTACATGTCCATGTGTCGCGTCTGGGTCAAGAATGGCGCTACACTCCTCAAAGCCTCACCCCTGGACTTAGAGAGGGTAAGACTCGGCCATCATTTGGACCAATTTCTACCCATTCTTGTCTGGCCTGGTGCTGCGAAATGTTGATCATGTACTAGCCTCCAAGGCAGGTTCACTTTATGTAACTGGTGCCCGATTGACTTGTGGTTGACTTGATGGCTTGTGAAAGGTTTGTAATTGACTAGTGATGGCTCGCAATTGAATTGTCATTGATTTATGATTGACTTACGATTAGCTTGTGATTGAAATGTGTAATTGACCTACGAGCGAGTTAAGATAGACTTCTGATGACGTATGATTGATTTATGATTGACTCTGATGACTTATGATTGATTTATGATTGACTTCTGATGACTTATGATTGATTTATGATTGACTTCTGATGACTTATGATTGATTTATGATTGATGCTGATGACTTATGATTGACTTCTGATGACTTGCAATTGATTTATGATTGACGCTGATGACTTATGATTAGCTTGTGATTGAATTGTCATTGACCTATGAATCAGTTACAATAGACTTCTGATGACCTGCGATCGAATTTTTATTGACTTATGATTGATTTATAATTGACCTCTGATGACTTACGATTGATTTATGATTGACGCTGATGACTTATGATTAGCTTGTGATTGAATTGTCATTGACCTATGAATCAGTTACGATAGACTTCTGATGACCTGCGATCGAATTGTTATTGACTTATGATTGATTTATGATTGACTTCTGATGACTTACGATTGACTTTTGATGACTTGAGAACACCTGTGATTGATTTATAGTGAATTGTGATCACTCGCTTACAACCTAAGAAGCCCCCCCCTCCCTTCCTTGTTCTCTTAGGAGCTGGGTGTCAGGAATGTCCTCCATCGCAAGAAGCTCCAACTGGCCCTGCAGGCCATGGGCTCGGAGGAAGGGGACAGGTTCAAGGGCCTGGACCACAACTGGGTGACCCGGTGGCTGGACGACGTAGGTCTACCTCAATACAAAGATGCCTTCAGTGAAGCTAGGATTGATGGGCGAATGCTGCACTACCTGACCGTGGTAAGGGTCAGAGACAGAAATGACAGGTTTACATTTTTACCACTTTGTGCGGGGGCACTCAGTTTCTTGCACATAGGCTTTGTACACGAAACCGAGAGCTTAAAATCAGACAAAAGAGCTGGGCCTTTTAACAAAAGACTGTACTCGGGAATTGCCAACATGTTTCCAGTTGTCAATAGCGGAGGAAATCCGTCATTGCTTTGAAAGATTATACCACAGTTTGTGGCATTCAGCGAAAGCGGATTACCCCGGGAGACAAAAGCACTCCAGCTATGAACGATACAATACCGCTGCAGGCTAATCTGGCCCCTATTGAAAAGATGCCATTAGTGTACTGTGCCGGATTCGGGAACAAAAGAAATTTACATCACACCGCACAATCTTGGCTCATTTTACGAGGCGGCAGGGCCTGGCTGAAATGCTCAGGCATCAGTAGATGTTGTCTGTCAGATTAGAGTAGCCACCAAGCAGTCATTCGTGTGGGTGTAAACGTCCAGTAAATGAAGTTATGATTTTTTGAAGAATTTTGAAAACGGAAAATCTTGAAAATCCCCAGTTCTACATCATGCAACCTCAAATAACACCCTTTTGACTTTTGGCTGAGTTGAAATTTAGCATGTCTGTGTACAGTCATCCAACAGTGCTGAAATGGTTGCACCCTTGCGACAGTGATTGGTTCTTATTTTGGTTGTCCTTGCTGTCTGTTTCAGGATGACCTCCTTCTGATGCGAGTGACCAGCGGCATGCATCACGTCAGTATTATGCGGGGAATCCAGTGTCTCAGGCTGCACAACTTCCAGCCCAATTGCCTGCGACGTCGACCGACAGACGAAGTAAGTTCTTGTCTTCTTACCTACCCCACCCCCACAAATCAAAGGAAACTATCAAGGCACGACAGCCGAGTTTGTAGTGGTTGTGCATACCTACCATATCAGATTTCAACCATCTTTGACCAATTAATTGTCATTCACCGCGGCTTTCCATCATGTACATGTTCATCAAAGGGCAAAGCAAATTTATTTTGGTCGGTAGTAGGTTTAGGATGTAAAAAGAACATTACTTTCTCATTAATAACAGTGGGAATCAACCATCCCTGAGGAGCATGTAATGAGTGCCAGTGTCATTTTGTGCACATTCTGTTGAAAAAAAGTTGCATACATTTCCAGAAGTTAGTTCCCAAAGCGGTGTTGCATGCAGTTTATATCCTTCATGGGATCCAGTAACTAGTTCACATGTTATAAGTACTCTTTAGCGTAGCTTCCAGTGACTTTTAGAATTACAATGTGCCGGTTCTTCAAATTTCAGGTACCAGTGGAAGACTGTGACCCAGCAGTAGTTTGCTTACAGTTTGCACAGTTTCTCTTTTTTTCCAGATTTTTGTCTTTACAGTTATTATTCAGCTGATTACCATCTGTTTCTTTTCACAGAATTGGTTTACTGAGGTTAAAACAATGCCCCCCTGGAGTTCAGAATTGGTAAACAAAACAAGCAAACACACAAACCAACGGTTGGGGCATGCTCAGTGTGGATTTTGGTCGTTGCTGTTGCACGGTTGTTAACTCGCAGATCTGAAAATGGGACATGTTCAGTAGACTGGCCTGTATTTTTGCTCCATGAAATTGCAGAACGCCATTTGCAAGTACACCTGAAACGTGCAGGGTTGCTTTGTGTTACACTGCATTGTGGGATAGCTTGTGGGCCAAAAAATGGGCATGGGCGACTTATGCTCAAAGAGTCCCGACTATCTTTAAGTGGGTGCCTGCAGTCATTCATACCATTTGATTACAGAATGTGTCTGTTGGGTTGGCAGGTCTTTTTGGGACCAGAGTCAAGTTGAAGTTAAGCGGTAATGAAACCGTTTGAATTAACTCTTGAAGTGAACTGCAGATCAGGACTAATTCTGGGGGCAGGTGTGACATGAATCGGGAAACGGGCAGAGTTTCCATTAGCTCTTTAGGGACGCGAGCCGGTCGTATGCAGTCCTTTGAGAAAGTAATAATCTGGTGTGAGTTTGGATTTGGGAGTGAATTAGACTTTAAAACTCGTTGATTTCTGGCTACTGGAGCAAATTGTGGCCGATCTGTTCCATTTTGAGATCTGCGTTTGCCTTGGTGATGTTCAGTGTGTTGTATGTCCAAATCCATAAAGAGTATCAGTGAATTATGTATGGCTAGAAACTTCACGTGGTGGTATGCAATATACCGGTAGCTGCCTGATATCTGTCATCATACTCATAGCAAGAACCAGTTTGTTCTTAACTTGTAGCTCTAAGAAATTGACAAATGCCCGGCAGATTCACTCTTTTGGTTTATCCTACTTACCTTTGCCAACGGACAGTCCCTTTAAGTTTAAATCCAGCCATATGGTAATGCACAGTTAATACTTAACCTTGGTGCTGTCTGTGTTTACAGTGCATACATTGCTTAAAGGAACTGAGTGTGTTCCATGGAGAGCTATAAAATGCGGTGGTGTACATGTAATTTATATTTTTGGTTTGGAAAAAATTTTTTTTTGATTGTTAGATATGAGAAAAAGAAGAAAAAGAATTGATTTGGAAGGGGAGGGGCCGTTGTGGTAGGTGCTCATTGATCATGAAGTCAAAGAGAAGTTTTTTCCTCTCGAAACGGTATGCAAGAATTGCCAAGAACCCTTGTGAGTGATCTTAATGTTGTAGAGTTTGGAAGCAGTATCTCTCAGCATGGTGATTATTTTTTGGGTTCACTTCCCTTTTTGTTTAGTTACATTGTCAGTATTTGTGGAGATTATTTTCTGAGTTAGTGAGATACAGAGTAGTCTTGTCAGTTCCTTTAAATACTGTAGCTTCACCTCTGCATGGCCCCCGAGGAACGCTTTCAAGAATGTCAAATGTGCATAGATGCTACATGTATGTCCAGAAGGCATCTTTGGACAGGTGTCAGACTTAATCAATTACCAATCTGCAGTTGTAATCATCAGCTTTGTTCTACAGTTTAATTTTTTTATCGTCTCCCTTGCTCCCGGAGTACAATTACTTTCTGCATTGTCTCTTCTACAAGGCCATCTTCCCGAGTGCCTAACCGACTGCCTTGCATTGTCACTGGTCTTGCTTCATGTACCAGTATTGCCATTCTTGTCAACTGTGATTGCTCTTTCCATTTCCATCGAGGCCATCATCATCATATTTCATCTTTGTCATCAATGTCGTCATCTTCGTCTCCATGTTTATCATCTTCATTGTCATCGTCATCGCATCACCCTCCCTTTCTTCCCATTTCAGCCATTTTCCCCATGATATTTTTTTTCATCTGTACTTGTACCTGTTCATTTGCTGCGGTAATCTTGAAGACGTGCGGTTTCAGGTATCACATGGTGACATTCACAGTGTTTGTCAGGGGATTTTGCTTTTCCCTCTGATAGTTTACAGCAGGTGAAGAGGTAGAAGATTTCACCTGTGGTGGGGTTTATTGAGGCATATACAGATCGTATTTAAGGGTAAAAATTCCAGAAATCAGGGGTCCATTTTTGTGTGTGTCCCTGTCACATCTAGGATGTGATTTTGTATTAAAGTTCAGAACACATTTTCTAATTTCCAAGAGTGAGTGATTAATGCAAATGACCTGCCAAACAAAGTGATAGTTTGAAATCAATTCTGGTGACTTTTCCATGTCAAATAACAAAGGTCAGATGTAACAGGGACACAAAAATGTCACACTTTTGGACCCCTAATTTCTGGAATTACCCTCAACTCAGCGTTCCATAGTAACTTGATGTTACACCCTCCTGGTTTTTGCAACACTTGGCCAAATTTCTGGAACATGTTGCCAAATTTACGTTAAATTGTAATCAAAGATTTGGCAACATAACGAGTTGAGGAATATTGACATCTTGCAGCAGTGGATCCATTGTAGCCTTTAATGTGATTTTCCGGGAGGCAGGGTTGCTCACACTGGAAGGTGGAGGAATATTCAAGCACATCTTTTATTGAGGGGGGCCCTTGAATCGACTCTGTTGGTTTTTGGCTCCTTCCTGGAGGATTTTTGCAGATTTAAGGAGGGTGAATATTTGGTTGCTTTACTTGATGCGGGGCGTAGTAGCTGTTGACAGCACAGTATACCTGTGCATGGAATTTGCCATGAGGTCACACTCAATTTTGAATGATTCGGATTCAGAAAGATCCCGACAAAAGGTGCTAAAGGAGTCACCGGTCTTGGAACTCACTTGAGGGAATAGGAGGTCAAGGAGAGATTGACAAGTTTGAATCGGACAGAGCATGCTTTCACCTCCACTTCTGTTATCTTTATTTTCCTGTGTGATACCTTTATAGCCTTATGAAGCAGGGCGGGAAGTCATGCTGTGGACAAACCACCGAGTGATGGAGTGGCTCAGGACGGTGGACCTGTCCGAGTACGCCCCCAACCTCAGGGGCAGTGGCATCCATGGGGCTCTCATGGTAAGCAACAGAGGTCTTTATCAGTGTTGTAGTTGGCACCTTTTGGGACCGTCACAAGACCCCCACAAGACCATCACAAGACCCCCACAAGACCATCACAAAACCTCACAAAATCAACATGAGACCGTCACAAGACCTCCACAAGACCCTCACAAGACCATCACAAAACCTCACAAAAATCAACATGAGACCGTCACAAGACCTCACAAGACCCCCACAAGACCATCACAAAACCTCACAAAATCAACATGAGACCGTCACAAGACCTTCACAAGACCCCCACAAGACCTTCACAAGACCCCCACAAGACCATCACAAAACCTCACAAAATCAACATGAGACCGTCACAAGACCTCCAGTCTGAATTCAAGTCACAGTGTTTTCAAATGAACTGCAAAGAAGCATTCCTTTGTCATTGTACACCCTGTTAATACTTGTGACTGGTCCTTAGTCTGGTCTTGTGAACGGTCTTGACTACGACACTGGTAGTGGAGTACTACATAGGTACTTCACTAGTTATCCCAGGTAATTTCCACATACATTCTCCACCAACAATGGGTGAACAATAAAGAAGGAAGGGCTTTACAGAGTATTTGAATAGAATGTAGTTCATGTTAAGGCTGGAGTACTTGCAAAGTACTCGAGTCAGTTGTGAATCCATATGAAGTACTCCACTTCAACCCTGGCCTTCATATGACCACCAGAACCGTTAAGGCTGCCTGGCGTTGGGTAGTAAGACTGCATTCCCAGTGGGTATTCAGTGGTTATGACTAAGGTTTTTGCTGTTGGTATGCTGCACAGAACGGCCGTAGCTCGAGGTAGCAACTGAGAATGCCAAATTGGGTGGTTAGTATCATCCATATCCCTTGTTATCCAGGTCCTAGAGCCGCGCTTCACAGCAGAGACCCTGGCCACCACCCTCTGCATCCCCAATGCCAAGTCGCTCCTCAGGAGGCACCTCAGCACCCACTTTGTCTCCCTGGTGGGCGGCCAGATCCAGGCCCAGAAGCGGGAGACGGAGAAGTCCTCCAACTTTGTCCCACTCAGCGCTCTCTCCAAAGTCAAGGTGGGCAGCCTTTGAGGCTTGTTATAGAACACACAAGTATTGCAAAGATATGGGAGACTACAGACCTTTATCCTAATGCGGCCATGTTTGTCTTGTTTCCTGTAGACCTGTTTGCAATAGCAATACAACTTCACATATTGATGAAAGGGAACAGACTAGCTTTTCTGTCCAGCTTCAATTTGGTTACATCGCCTTGAATGGTAGAAAAGCAAGATGGCTGCCCCATGATAGAGGTCAATTCTGTCCTATGTGGCTCACTAGGCTGGTGTTTATTTGTTTTTCCTTTGGACTAACCGGGTGAAGATATTTCTGTTCCCTGCTCTACGTGTCATGTCAATCAATTACACACTAGCTGTGGTACCTGTTTATGCACCTGGCTGAAGAGTTGTAAGATGGGGTAAAGTAGCTTGCTTAAGGACACAACATTTGGCCAACAGCTGATCACGTCACACTACCCGCATGTACCCACTATTTGCTCTTTGCATGCTGCTGCCATAGGCTCGCGGAGCCTCGATCTCGATCTTTACAATAGCCGGTTCAGTGTCGTTTGGTAATTCTGCGCGTGCCGCATCAGCTCTTGAACAGCGCGATTGGATAAAATTTGGAAAGCTGCGTTGATGCGATTCTACAAGCTGTCGGATTGAGGCTCTTAATGCGTGCGGCGGCAGCATGCAAAGAGCGAATGAAGCCACACCTTCCTGCACAAACTGCTCAGGTGATCTGCAAGGGCAGTGGTGATTGGCGAGTAAAACAAGAAAAATATTTTGAGACCTAAGAAATCAAAATTTATTTGCTGCCTTCAAGACAACTTTAAAAACTACAGTGATCAAAACCTCAGGTTTTCCGTTTCTGCCTGCAGCCCAAAAAGCGGCCCTTTGGTGGTCGCCCCAAAAAGAAAGGCATGGAAGAAGAGGACTACGTGTGCCCCATGAACCTGGAACTGCCCCCGGGGCTGCAAGGGGTGCAGAACGGGACCAAGCCATCCCCGAGCTATCGGGTGGAGGTGCGGAGTGCCGGCAAGGTGCACCGGCAGGGAGACGAGGTAGGTCTGGCCGGAAAGGCAATCTCGGTGTTCTCTTGACCAGAAGGTCGTGAAGTAATGAGTGATGTTCACTTAAGTCATATTTGGTGTGCCTCATGACCTTCAAGTTAAAATCTGACCATGTAACTCCAAAGGTGATTATCTCTGCAGCTAAAAAAGATCATGGTCAAAGCATCAATAAATGTTGTTATAAGAGAAATGATTATCTTGAATGTTTTTTTTTTCAGACAAGTGCTAGCTCCCCCGACTCGGCTGATGGCACCCCTCCCAGTCAGATTGGTGTCTACTCTGAAGAGATCAACACCCTCACGGTGAGGCATCAGACCCTAATTATGCTAGTGTTGTGGTTACTTGACAAGCACTTAGCATTAGTACCTATTACTAGTACTTCACTTCAGTACTCAGCATTAGCACTCAGTACTAGTACTCAACACTAGTACTTGGAACTAGTATTTTTACAACTAACAATGGGTGAACAACAGACGAATGTTTGCTACAGTGTGGATAAACAGATTTAGACTCCCTTAAACTTGAGTGCTAGTGATGTACTTTTCAAAAGTTGTAGAGTACTTTTGAACTAACCGTGAGTGCATGTAAAGTACTTGACTGCAACACTGCTTGACAAGTGCTTGAATGCCACTCAGTAACACAGCACAACCCAAGATGTACGAATCAGCATTTTGAAAAATGTGGTAATGAACAGACTCAACTGGTTTTCTTTTTTTTTACTCAGAACATGTTGAACGACGACCAGGCGGAAAATGGTGGCACCAACGTTTGAACGACACATCAGGGAAACAAGACGTAAAAATCATAACTTCAGCAGGATTCATAGCAACACACTGGGCTTCCAACTGGAAAAATAAATATTTATGCGGGAATCTGTACAGTTCTGGAGTTTCTACATTGACTGATGCAACTTCATTTTGTTGGTTCGGTTGCTACAATCTGACCCGCTCTTCTCTCAACCCCTTCAAAGGAAGGCATCGCCAAGTCGGTCGAATGTCTGTAACTTCTATCCAGTTTTGTTTCTGACTGAGAACAGCCCCGACTACCAGGATGGAGTAAGTTAACTAATTATTTATACTTGGTGTGCAGTGATGGGCATTCTTTGTTACTAGAAGAAATTCCTGTCTCTTTTGAGCTTGCCAGGGCTAAAGACTGCCCTCTTTAGCCTACGCACGGAGCATATAGCAGGTCTAAGACTTGTGAAGAACAAGGTGGTGACATTTCTTGTTTCACAACTCTTGGGGTGGCTCCACATACTCAGTTTGTAAATTGCAAAAAGCCGAGATACCGAGAAGTGATCTTGACGCACAGATTCAACACAAGAAATACTTCAGCCGAGCAGCAGGAGGCAAAATAGATTTCTCAGGTAAGACTTTCCGTTGTCCCTGGTGTCTCACACAATGTGCACAAAAGTGAACTGTTCTTTTTTTCAACCGCGTTGGAAGTCGCTGATCTTTGTGTTGAGTTGGGAGGCCTTGAAGCAGGAGTTGGACCATTTTGATTTCAAGAAGTCGGATAAGTATGAATGAACTTTATGCAAGTCAGTTGTACAATAATGGATGTGAAATATCCACTGTAAATTTTTTTCATCATTTTGATCAGTCAGCACTGTATTTAGCACAACTTAAGCAACTTTCATTTGGCCTTATCTAGTGTAATTTATCCTACCTTCACCGTGACTCGTGTAAAATACCATTTTTTGTACATTATTTGCAGCATTAATGATTTTTATTTAGATCGCGCTCTGTAATGGCTTTTTAACCTTAACCTTTTTTAGACTCTGTGTAGCTTTAATCTTGAACAGCGTAATGAAAAAAATGGAAAAGGAGCTGGGCAGAGTAGAATTATTAAAAACATTTTTAAAAAATTGTTTGCTGTTTTTCTTCAGGAAAAATGTGCACAGTTAATGCTTAAAAGGCAGAAACTGGATGTCCAAACAGACAGTAGATTTACATACACTGATTCAGTGCTAGCCTTTGAATTTCATATTTTCGAAATGTTACTTTGAGGAAAATCTCCAAGTTATAGTTACAAATGTTAATAGGATTGAGCTTTTAACGTTGGTTTTCACAAGCCGAGATGCAGTCTGTCAGTATTTGGCAGCACTCGTTTTAGACTATGCACCGAGTTTTGCAATGTTGGACATTTTCGCGGACCCTTTTGGAAATGTCTGTGTATGCGTGACTGCTCGAGAAAGATTTTTTTTAGGAATTTTCCCAATCTCCCAAATTCTGGGGTCAGACTTTTTAGAGATATTGCTGTTTGTGTTTCATAAAAGCACAAATGTATCAGTTCATTAGGTACTTTTTATCCATTTTTACATCAAAGGAAACTGATACTTTTTCTATACCAAGTTTACATGTACTTCCAGTGCAACTGTTTTTAATGGGTTAGACTTTTTAAAAAACAAATTTCTTCCAAAAGAATTGATGTGTGTTCGTGCTTTATCAAAATAAGGACCAAGTTTGAAAACGGCATTCTGGGCTTTCAGTATTGAGAGAGGGGAAACCTTATCAATACATAATACAGTGCACATGTTGACATTGATATTAAAGTATGCTTTTTTATGTCGTAAAACAATTTTCACACAATTATAAAGCAGCATTGAATACAGATTTAAAAACAAACAAACCATGAATGTAAATACACGCAAATAATTAGAGGCAATCCTGAAATGCAGAAACACTGGACTTGTTCCTTATTTTGATAGACCAGGTTGAAGACATGTCATTTTTATGGAGGGCTTGCACAGCTGCCATCTTGGAGGCCAAAAGTTTTCAGTGGAACAAAACAACAGCCCTGCAAGATGGCTGTCATGCAAAGCCTTCATTTATTTTTATGTATCATTGGTTAAGACGCACCAAAGGACCTCTTGCATCTTGAACATTTTGCCAATACAATGCTTCATAAACAGGGTTCAACTTTACAGTTATTTCTATTTTTGTCAGCATTCGTCTATGAGCCATCTATTTTTGGACGTCATCTTTTTGAGCATGTTAACTGGGTTTTTTTTGTAATCGCTGCAACGTGCATGGGTGTAAAGTTTTCTCAAGACCTGTTTAACCTGACGTGAGCATAAGTTGCTCAATTTGTAACATTTTGCCTTCATTGGTCAGTTGATTGGTACAGACTACAGCATTTGTGACCTGTCACCACAAAATGAGCTTGAATTGCTATTTTTAAATAAACTTTTAGCAGAAAAAGAGCTTTCCAATGGCATTACACTTGGGGTAAAAAAAAAAAGGTGATGAGATATTCTGGCGGCTAGGCCCTCTTGTTTCCGACGATTGTTTTAACATTGCTGACTGGCCACAAATAATGCAATTGTCAAAATTGGAAAGAAAAATGACATTTTCAAGTCTCTGATCCTGCAACAGAACTTGGAATTTAAACAGAACAAGGGTTAACTTTTTCCAAAAATACAAACACCCCAAAATGACCCCCCCTTCTGTTTTTGACTTCAAACCATTGTGATAGGGAAAAAGTGGAGTGCACCTTTAGGCACATTTTGAGTGTGGTCGCTATGACTTTTCACCATAGCACGTCAGAAGTCTTACGCCAGATTCCCAGGAAAGACCAAAAGTACACGTACTTGTCCTTCCTAATGAACTCTGAAATTTTCACTCAAATGGTACAACAAATATAAAAACAGTATCGTACATTTTGACAAGACCTTGACTGAACGCATTGCCAAACTTGTAACTTTCTAACCTTAGTTGTTGTATAAAAAAAATTTAAAAATGTAGAAATCCTACTGATGCAAATACTGTACAGGAACCTTTGTGATGAATGCCCTTAAGACTTGTCTATTGTACTTCTGTACCTCACAAACTAAACTGTTCTTTTTTTGTATGTAAATACATAATCTGTGAAAGAGGAAAAGGTTTCAATGGTGTGGTGATTACTCCACAGATGTGTCCCATGATTGGTATGCTTTGGAAGGGGGAGCCCTTCATTTGGCATCGAGACCGGTGTTTTAACCCCTTCTCGGCGGGAATTTCTTTCCGAAAGCCAACTCCAAGAATTCCAACCTCGCTTGGCCACGAAGGCCACCTGCTAAACCGCAAATTCTCGGTTTGTGGCCCAGCCTGCTCTGAAAGCTTTGACTTACACAGTGAAAAGGCTGATTGTTCGGTGGCATGCGGCTCTACTCAAGCTTCCACATTCCCATTGCCTCTTTTCAAAGTGGGGAGTATTGTGAAGCTGGTATTTATGGTCCAAATTCGGTCTTTTCATTTCTGGGCTACACACAAAGACCAATTATCATATACACAAGAGCCAGGGTCTGCCTTCTTTCACCGTGTTCGCTCGAGCATGGGCTGAGAATAATAGCTGAAAATTTTTATGGCATGTTTTAACGCGTCCCGGCGTAAAGGGGTTAAAGGCCGACTTGTTTTCACAAACACTGTGTGATTGAAGAGGTCACCTGTCTGATCTTGTAGAAAGTTTAGCTCAGACAGATGAAGGAAAATGCCACTTTTTTGAGCCCTTTTTATAGAACCATGGCCAAGAGAATTCTTGTAATAGAGGACTCTGTGTCATTCCCCTTGCAATTGCCACAGAAGTTCAACTACATTTTTTGGGGCCAGTGTTTTGACAGAAAATCGCAACGGTTTTCCTTATTGTTGCTACTGAAATATCGCAATTGTCTTCTGCAAACAACGCGGAAATACCTTTTGACGTTTTTAGTCCCAAGTCCAGAAATTTAGGGGGTTGGCATGATTCCGGGCACACTTTTTTCAATTCATTATTTTCCGAAATTTCAGCCAAAATTAAAAAAAAAATTGCAAGGGCGTAACCTAGTGTTTTTAAATATTACAGTTTTTCAAACATTTCGGAAGTATCCAATTCTGTTTTTCTTTCACTTTTAACATCAAATCATTACAAGTTCTCTGATATTCCAGTATGTACCGTTTTAGGATTCTGGGTATACATGTTACAGCGGCAATTCCAAACAAATCCATTCTGGTAACAAGCATCCTGTATAAATGAGAGTGAAGACTCGACCCTGCTTAGGCCTACTATGTCACCAAAATGTTTACAATGTTGAAGAAAATAAGCATTTTGCCCGGGGAAAGTAATAAGAAAACAGGCTAGCTGGCCCCAACACCGGAGACGGAAGTACCGAAATGCAGCTAGCAAAAAGGAATCTTAGCATTGAAAAATGTAATACAAAGGACCTGCAAAAGTCTTACAAACTCTTGCACTTCATCTCTGGGGGTAAAACAAGTCTTGGGCCACCTGCTTGTCAAAGGTAAGGCACCTGTACCTAGAGCATTATAGTATCTGGTGCCTTGATTGGTACTCACACGAATGCATGTACATGTAACCCTCCTGGCAGTGGGCACAGCCAGTTCCAAGCAGCCCTAGTCGTCCACTTCCTTACAGCTAGATTTACTCTCTGACGTTTGCATAATTGTGTTCCACACTGTTTAAAGGAATGGTGGGCTGCTGTGATCGCTGAGACACGTCAGGCCGGCGACGAGCGATGCTGTGAAGAACAAAACAATTGAGAGAGATTGCTAAAAATAAAAACGGTTAAAATACGGTACCTTGAGAAACTCACGAAGGCTTGGTCCTCCCCCCCCCAAAAAAACCTATTAAAAATAGGGCCCGATTCTCCAGAGATTTCTTGCCTACGGAACAAACTTCTGTTGGTTCATTTACATTTTATGAGTGCAAAGCCAGAGAACTTACTAATACCAGCAAAAACCGGTGATGAAAACAGCCAGGACAATGACGGCAACGCTGACACCGATGATGGCCGACAGGGAATCATTGGGACCATCGGGAGGAGTTGTTTGTGTAGGAATCTCTGTGGAAGCCACTGGCTCTGATGATGGAAATCAAGACAAATTGAGTCACTGAAAGTTTTAGTCCTTTGAAGAATCAACCATTTTCTTGGCAGGGGGGATTCAGCCTGGGCTAGTAACGACAAGCCCTGGGGGAAAATGGGGGAGGCTAATCAGCCTTTACTTGCTGCCAGAAGGCTGAACTGTGGAGGTCACATCTACAGCATGTAAAGGAGCCGTAGGTAGCTGCCAGATGACCCGTAGTTGACTACGGACCACAGCCAGAAATCACGGGTAGATTTTTACATGGAGGGAGGAAAACCAAATATCCCACAGGAAAAAAACCCTTGTAGCGCGAGGACAGAACCATCAAAAAACTCTGCTAGCGGAGGCCAGGAATCGAACCCAGGACCAAAAGTGTAAAAGAGGCGTGGATCTACAGTGGAATGCCGCTATAACGAACAAGACGGTGTCCGCGCTAAATGTTTGGTACAGCGGTCGTTCGGTATAGCGACTTAACAGCCGAACATTTCGTTGCCATGTTGAATAGCGCCCTCTCTTGTCTAAATGAAGTGCACCCTCTTGTGATACCATGGCTCGCTGTTTTCGTGATGTTTTGCTGTTGCATTCACGTTTAAGGTTTATAGAAATGTCTCTGTTAATTATTCTTGTTTTTTATTTAAACTTGAGTCAAAAAATTGATATCAAGTTTATCCCAAAAGTCGTGAAACTACCGCTCTGTGATGCATGCTGTGGCGAATCTCGGTTGATTTGTGTATCAGTGGCGCCCTCTTTAGACTATTCCGAGTGCAGTGCCACCGTGTGCGTACGTGCGGTTTTCTTCCTCACCCGATCATGTGGAGTCGCAAAACCAGTGTCTATTCAATACCGTTGACAACTAGTGGCTTTCCCTTCTAATCCTTGGAGAAATAATGGCCACTTGTCACTTTCCAATATAAAAAAACCTTGACTGTTTTATCATGTTGACGTTCGGGAATTACATGTGTACAAACGGTAACTGAATAGTGTTCGACAGGTTCTGTACACAAATTATTGGGAGCCAAGGATGATGTTCGGTACAGCCGAATGTTCGGTATAGCGGTGTTCCACTGTAGTAATGTTTGTTTTTTTTAATTTTCCTGTATCTGACGGCCCAACTTTTGGATTTAAACCCTTATTTTTTCAGAGATCAAAGACTTACTACCCCACAGGCTGGAGCCATGACTGGAGTGTTCTCAAGTTTCAGACTGCCTCTGTATCAACTCAAGATTTACACATTTTCACTCACCGTCTTGACCGACACTCTTTTCACACCACTTACCTTGACACGCCGTCTCGCGACTGGCACCCGTCTCCTTGGTAACCGTATCTGGCGGGCACAGCAGGCAGAAGTCCATCCCCCTGGTGGGACTGTAGGTGTTACGTGGGCAGAGCTCACAGTGACTGTCTGTAATCACGTCTCCCCTCACTCGGTACATCCCCGCGTTGCATTGGGCTGGATATCACACACAAACCACACGACTGCTGCTAAAACATGGTGTTGCAGCAAAACGGTCATAAATGTCTTTCACACGTCGGTTTAACCCCTGAACATTGGTACATGGCAACAACCGCAGCTTTGTGTGACGATTAGTGCGTACCACACATACTTTCTATTCATCATGCACCTGCGGTTTCAATGTGGACCTGCTGCTGGACAGGTTTTTGCATACCGCAGCCCAGCAGTCATGGTCAAAAGAATGCATGTACTGGCGTTAAGGGGTTAATTACCAAGTTCTTTCAGTGCCCGTCAGTCAACCGCTCTCCGATTTTGCCTGTGAGCCTGTACGAGTGAATTATATTGTAGCAGCCTTATGACGTTTTCAAAATTTCTGCAAAGGCTCGGAAATGACTTCATGAATATGCATAACAGTGCCTTCATTTGTGTCTGCTCTTTTTGTGTAGCTGCATTCACTGACATGTCTGCTTGCTCACTGATTGAAGTTTGTTCTTTGAAACACCTTCATGCAAATAAATCTGAGCAACCAAATGATGAGAGCGTAACGAGACACAACAGAAATGGCACTTGAACAACACTGGGTTTTGTGCACATTATGATGAAAATAAGTCAGGTGTTTACTTCAGGCCACTTGTGAGTACATATTTGCACTGTGAACCACTCATAAATCAAGTCATCAGCTACTCACTGTAGCACTCGCTGGTGCTGCTGGCTCCCTTGCCGTCGGTGGCCATCCCGCCCGGACACGCCTTGCATTGCCTCTGCCCTTCCTGGTCTTGGTAGGTGTTGGCCGGGCACGGCTGGCACTCCGTATCCTGTTCCACTTGGCTTTCGAACAGAAAGGTTCCCGGTCCGCAGCGAACTGAAGAAGAAAATCAACCACCACAAATTGAGTATATTTCTCCAACTAGAACAAAAATTAACTCGTAAACTAAGATGCAATATCCTTCACTATGAGGGAGGATCGCTGTTAGTGGGGGGGGATTGGGGTCAAGCCCCTCCCCCAAAAGGACTCCCCAATATTTTTTTGAAGGTGATGAAAGATATATAGTTTGACCTATTACACTATCCGTCTTTCACAAAGCGTGTAAAATGCCCCAAAATGTAGCCTCCCTCCCATAAAACATTAGATGAGAAAGTTTCCAAAGTTTTGGCCCTCCCTCCAAAACCAAATTCCCCCCCCCCAAGAAAAATGTTGTTCCTGAATCTGCCCTTGGATCACTGCACCAGCAAATTCAGTCATCAATCAGAAAAAATATAAACCTTCTCTGCAGTTTGCGACTTGCTTCAAGTGGATTCTACTTACCACAGTATCCCCCCGGGCTTTCCACCGATCCGTTGGGGCAAATGCTTCCCCAGTCCAACTCCACCGAGTCTGGGTCCGGCTGCACCACTTGGCCCTTCACCTCCAGCATGAAGCCCCCAACCTGCATGAGGGTGCGTAGAGTTTCTGCTGCCTGAAGGGTGACGTCATTTTCATCTACGAATTAAAAAAAACATTCATGTTGGGGGTGGCGGAAGTATGAGACAATGCTTAAAGTGAAGAGAGGATTTTCAACAAAAGACGTGACAGCTAGGGATGTCAGTTGGCCA